TCAAAGGCTGTGGCCCCTTTAACCACTGTTTCACTACAGTCCAAAATTTATTTGACAAAAAGTCAGCCAGGATTACTTGCTGGTGAATAATCACTATGGAGTAACCAGAGTGAGAGGCCAATTCTCTTCTCATTTATGTTGGATATAAATAAGGACAAAATCCAGGCTTGTTCAACAGGAATAAATGAAAGGAGAATTGGGACTGTACTACCAGTGAGTTTAATCATAACAGCAAGAACAAAACTACATGCAGGGAGCTTAATTATGCATTTGATGCATAAGAAGAATACCCATTTAATTTAATTACCATTGCTTTTGTGCAGCAACTCTATAATTGACTCCAAAGACAAAACTGTCTGAAACATCTACAAATTACATATTAACATGATGGGGTAGTATGTGTGGCAAGGGCCACTTTATGAGTTCAGGATTTTCCTATAACTCTTCAAAGCATGATAGCATTCTGGTTTGTTTTCAGGATCCAAAGAGCAACAGAAACTGAAACTGACTGAAAATGCATCATTTATTGTTTTAATCAAATTCCTCCTGTACCAAAAAAAAACCCATTAAGAAAACACCTGCAATCATAAACATCTGATACTGATTTCAGTTTTGCTCTGGCAACTATAATTGCATAAAATACAGCATGATACATAAAAGCCTGTATTTCTCTTTCAATATCCACAGTAAAACATTTTCCTCCTCTGCTTGGGAAAGATAAGCCTTTTATTTCTGAATCTCCCTAACAACATGTATAGACAAATGACAAATTTTATAAAGGACACAGTGGATCATTTGTAACATCTTTTTTTTTTTTTTACCATATGAATTGATAGCTTGTCAAAAAGTCACCCACCTGGTTTATGATTTGAATCATGCAACTGTGTAAATTATGATGTGATAAGAGTCAAATGTAAGTAACATATCTAATCATAGTTCTGCTTTCACAGCAGCTCAGGGTTATCTTCAGAGTAAAGATCAATGTGCTAAAAGAAAAAAAAAATTGAAGAACTAAAATAAAGCAAAATAATAAATTAAATGTAACTAATGACAAATTAAAATATTTGAAATAAATTACAATAAGCTGTCATGTTATTGCCACCATTCTTTGTCACAGAAACGAACAGAGAAGGAACAAAGCACTGTTAATGAAGCTGCATTTGGAAGTAACAAAATACTGTAAAAGCCAGAGACAGCAAACAAAAGAAATTTAAAATAAGGAAATTTTTAATAAAAAGCACACAGTGAACAAATGACAAAATATTACATTAACTGCTGTAGCTCCCTTCCTTCTCTATTACAAAATGGAGGCTTCTTTTTGAAAGATTTGTAGACTGTATAAATAAGAGGCTCTGACCCTTGACTGAGGGTTTGCAGGCTCCAGTACAGTGCAACGAACACTACCACCACATACAGAATGGTGCATGCAGTAAAACTGGGCATCATCCTCTTTATCTGCATGGAGATGAACTGGCCAGCAGAGACAGTAGCTGACCCTTCCGCCTGTGGAAGGTCTCGCCAGCAGCTCTTTTCTCTTCTATGACAACCTCACCTTACTTTCACAACTGCCTTTCTGTCTTTCACTGGACAAGGAGGGGGGATTTGGGCTTTGAATAGCATGTAGCAGTGCTGCTTCTCCACAGATCTCCAGATTGTGGAAGTTAGGAATAAACCTAGGTTTCCCAGTTACATGCAAGCCAATGGAGCAGAATGCAGCTCTGTTGTTTGTAAAATCTTGCACCGACACAGAACACTTTATCCAAGGCTCTCAGGGTGTCTTAGCAGACTCATTATTTTGTGATCTTGTCTTCATAGAAGAGGAGTGGGCTGGTAATCAGTTAGGCAATGTGCCATAAAAACCTACTGCAAATTAGATGGTCTGTTTTTTTCACACAAGATACAAAGTTGTATTACATGCTGAATTTTCAGTTTGAAGTAGTAAGGGGAAGGTAGGATGGGAGCTGAAAGCAAGATAACTAAGAGCATGAAAACACACCATCGAGTGGAGACTCTAGCAGAAACTATAGGGAATATATTACGTCCTTCAGTGAAACTATAAACTGCTTTGTCTTCACTGGAATTTTACTTCAAGCCAGCAAACTTGAGATATGCATTTCAAGAAGTCATAATTTACCATAACATAAGTGAACTTGGCCAAAAAGATGTGCTGTACCACAGTTATGACAGAGAACTGCCCATAGGAATCTGGCTTCTAGGTCCTACTGTAATAACTGGAGTGTACAGCCCCTACATAATGTACTAAGAGCCTTTCCATACTAGGTATGCAAAGTCACAGATAAAAGCAAGAAGGTGTGAGCAATGTCTTTTTCCAAGTATGTAAGGTCCCTTCCAACCCAAACCATTCTATGATTGTATGACATTCTGAAATGTCAAGTTATCCTAGGTCAGTTAGTCTGACAACAGTCTGAGCTGACTAATGGAAAGCTAGCACAAGGCTCTGCCAAGAAAGACGCAAAGGTTATGTAGAATAGTAGTGAACCTATTTTCATGGGAAAGCAAACTTGCTCTCAAACAAACCTGACTGAGTGTTGGTAAGATTGCAGTTTGACTGATTAAAGGTGAATGCAAAGATACAATAGACTTTTGTAAGGCATGTGACTTTAGTGTTTTTCAATAGAACTATATAATGTCAACAAAATGCATAATAAATGAACAAACAACTGCCTAATAGAATTAATAGTCAAGAAGGTCTGACAATATTCAGTATTTGCATCAGAGATTTGAAAATAATTGTAAAAGCTACAGCTGATAAAATCCACAGATAACAAGAAGGTTGTTTGAGAGGGGTAGTATGTAAAGGGCTCCTACACAGAAACCTAAGAACAAAGTATTCAGGTCATGCTCCCTGAGTAAGGGACGAGAACCTGCAAATTAGTTCCTCTGAAAAGACTTTGTAGTCATGATAAATAACACATGCTTCATGTATGACGCTGTAGCAAAAAGTGCTAACGTGGCCATGGATGGACAAACATGAGAGGGAGAGAAAGTTCCACTTAAAACTGGATTAAATCAGTGGATAGTGATTTTATGTCTGGATAAGGCATTTGTGAGGCTGACGTAAGAATTCTCCATCTTGATCTTATGCCCTCATTTTTAAAAAGAAAGGTTAAGTGCTGTAAAGCAGCCTACAGAAAATAATTTGAGAGTGACTTACAGATCACTCTCTTGTGCTTATCAGAAGGAAGACTGAGAAAGGACTTGATATCTTGATATTATCAAAGGACAGATGTATCATCAGTTTAAAGGGCACTTCAGGTTCCTAGAGAAAGACCTCACCAGAATAAACATCTAGAGGCTAAACACATTTTAAACAGCTGAGGTAGACAATGAAAAGAAAAAGCCCATGAGGAAAACTACAGCTCCTGGTCATTTGATGCCTTCAAGTCGGAATTGTCTGCTATCCTAGAAAATCTGACAAACACAAGGGCATGGGCCAGGACAAACTGTATGAAATTGTATGGGCTTTGACATGCCAAAGGTCAGAGGAGCAGTGTAGTCTTCTCAGCACGAATAGCTCAATCCATTGAAGTAAGCCAAAGACTCTAACAGAGTGGTTTGCATGGTGTTGAATATACACTGTTGATCTTTTGATTGTTTCTGTCCTTTTCAGTCACTTCCACCTAAGTTTATTTCAAAAGAAACCAACCCCAAAATTGCACCATCATTTAAATAGCAATATTTTGCCAACATCTTAACACACCCTGGAGGTTACTAAGTTGCCAGTTGCTTCTCGCAGTCTCCACAATAAGAGCTTTACTGTGGGTTTTGAACATACCCCTGCCAACAGGAAGTGCTTCTGCATTACAGCACTGATCAATGAGCTGATGACAGTGTTCCACCATGGATTCCAACTGTGCTTTGTCATAAGAAACTCCTAAGAACCTCACCAGTTGCTCAACCATTGTCGCTAGGTCCTGCAAGAGAGTATTTAAAAAATAGTTTATTTTAAGTGACCTTTTAAAATGAGTTTATTTCAAAATGAGTTATATCCTGATGAGCATGAAAAATACAAATGCAAAAGTTGTAGAAACACCACTGCCTTAAAATTTTGCCACCTTCCAATTTGCTGAAAATAAACACATTCCAAGTAATTAGGGTAAGACAGGCTGGAAGAGAAAGCAATCATGTAAGCTCATCCCTTCAAATATTAGGGCAGGGTACTGTAAAGTAATTGTGGTGCTTCCCACTTCAGACAACACCACACCCTTAACTGATCACTTTGGAATACCCCTGTATTTTGGAGCAACTAAAAGCTACTTCGATTTTGATCTTGGTAAAATAAATTACTACAAATGTTAGAACAGATCTTCCTTCATTGTTTGCTTCTGGGACTGCATTCATGTAGATGGAAAGGCTCTATCTAGCCCTACATGAGGTGGTCTCTGAGAAAAGCAGTCATTAATTTATATATCCAGAACTCCAGCATTCCTCAGTATGAGTAAGACTTCTGGAGTTGCAAGGACAAAACAGCAATGTTTATCAGGAAGCAGAAAGATACTGCAACGCCACCACCTTTCAGCAGCACCCCTCAGTGAGCACACTAGGAATATCTCATTATCAAAATCACGGGTTTGAAATAATTTCTTTTTTTTTTTTAATTATTCTGATTGCGTTACATCTTTTAGCACCCCACCTCATCAGAAGGTTCAATAAAGCTGAAATTACAATATACTCAGCTTTACTGAGTTCTATGCTGATTTTGCCCTTTTGTAGGTTTAGAGATAGGAGCTGGGTTTTTCCTATGTTTGCATTAATTGTCCAGGCAAAGAAACATTTTGAAGTCTTTTCATTAATTCTAAAAAATATATTATTGCAATAGGAAATGAAAACCACTATTCTATGTAGTATTTTCACTAAATTTTAGATTAAAAATAAAGTGGATTTATTAGCCAGCATACTGTAAGGACCCAATAATTATGTTCACCTTATACTACATGATCATTCCTAACTGTTTTCAACATTGTTTCACAATGTCACAAGAAGACAGTAAGAACAACCAAATAATCAGAATAAATGCCAAATATATAGGACAAAACACTGATGATATAGTTTTGTTCTCATTAATACAGCACACACACCAAGACATTTCTTTTAAATGAATCGGCAGGGCTGAGTGTAGCAAGCACCGAACAGTTACACATCTCTGCCTTCTCTGTGAGTAGTTTAGTGACTACAGATGCAGGCAGATTCCCGACTAAATGACTAGGTTTAACAAACTGCTGATGTCCACAGAAGTTATTGAATGACAGTGCTTTAAAAAACATATTAGATGTTAGGGAGCCCAAATATGGACAAAAGAAGCAAATTTTGTACTTTATATATTTTACACACTATGATGCTAAACGTAAACTGCCTGTTTGCCACATCTAACCTACCTTATGCATATCTTCGTACTTCAGAAAAAGCACATTGGCATCCATGTGATGTTCCCAAAACTCTTGCACATGTTCAAACCACGAACCATATCCTACTACAAAGACAATATGATTGGCATGAGGAAAATTAATACTTTTGTTATTAATCCCTCCTCAAAAAAGAAAAAAAAAGGCAGAAAAATAAATTAACTGGAGTGGTTCAGAGCCCCAGGAGAACTGTGTCTGGTTTTGACCCTTTGCCATGCACAGCAAGGAACTTAGTTAAAAGAGCTTTTCTATCAGTTTGGAATATTTAAAAGAACTAACTTACCATAAAGACAAAATGTTCAACTAAAAATGCCACTATATTTCATGATGGATATCTTGAAGCTCAGTATTAATAACACCCAACTATTGAACGGAAATTGAGCCAAAATAAAAATTACAGATAGCTTTGCAGAAGGCAAATTTTCAGTGGCTCCAACCTGTGTGAATTCCTGCAATTAATATATCCCACTGCAGCCTCCTTCACTTAGAAGCTAGATACAGCATTTGTGGAAAGTTCCATAGAGCATCCTCTATTACAGACAAATAATTGATAACAACCTCTGTCCTTTCTTAATTAAAGAAGTAGTGAGGAAACAGACCTATAAAAATGCTTCATGGTCATTCCTAAAAACTTGGGATGTACTGACAGAATATTCTCTTTATCATTACATCTTTTGCCTCCCTGCTAAAATCTAAGACCTGTTCCCTTCTATTGTTATTTTCCGAACACTGACACACAACTTCTGTAGATAAGCCAGAACACGGTTTCAGTTATGCTGTTATCAGTTATCTCCATTACACAATAAGTCTAGACTACCACCAGATGCCCCTGGGATGTTGAGTGCTCCCAAAACCTTAGAATGTTGAGATAGAGTACTCCCCATATATCACAAACTGTGAGCAGTCCAAGTGTTCAGGGTTGCCAATAATGAAAAGCTTATGCATCCTACCTCCTGCATACTACCAGTAGCTTGTCTGCAGTTCCCTATATCTACCGTGGGGGGTTTAGAACTTGAAGAGAAGTTGAAGTGCTACGCTGTGAAGGCCTGTGCTCCCAACACTGCTCAGACAGTGGCTACTGGAAATCTTAACCATCCCCCTAAAACCTCTCCTCTTCCACTTCTCTGACAAAGTCCACATCTGCAGTGATTTCAGTCAATTTGTGTGTGTCTAGCAGAGGTCCAGACACTAGCATTTGTTATTTAGAGAATGTATTTTGCTGACAGTATTACCAGAAAGACAACTCAAAGAGAAATGCACTCTGCATATTTATTTGGTAGTAGTGATAAATTCCCCCAAAATATTTTGGATAATCAAGGCAGGAATTAAGCAAATATAGTGAGCTGTTTTTCACATTCTTTCACAATATTTTTTTGGTCAATTTTATCTTTTCAGCAAAGCAGCTATAGAAAAATAAACTTTTTAGTTTCATATTTTCAAGCCACCTTTCCCTTTGAAAAATAGTTGTTTCATTTTGATAACTGGAACATTTTCAATGGACAAAGTGGTCAGTTTAATAGGAAAATTGTTTTAATCAGCTGACCTCATTTTCCATTTTTATAAAGGTATTGGGAAAATTCCATTTTTGTTATTCCCATTCCATACAATTCTAAAGAAATTCACACATGAGGGTAACACACCAGTCACGTAAAAAGTGTTCCTAACTGCTCTTAATGGTACAGTAAAGAGTCCACTAAGATTATGTCAGCAGAGTTTACCTATGTTTTACATAAGAAACTCCCATAATCTTTAAATGATAATACCAAAGAATTAGCACATTGAAGACTAACCCGCATCCAACCGTATGCTTTCAAGCAATACAGCTAACATGCACAGAATTTGTTTCAAGACAGACAAGTATAAGGAGGGGTAAAAAAGAGTAGGATTGTGTAATTTGGGCTAAGTTCTTCTCCCTCTAGCACTACTTTGACTTCTTATACAGTTGGGTTTTTTTTTTTTTGCTGCTGCATTGCTTCCATGAGATGCAAACATTTAGCTAAATGCTAAATTTACTGTATTACAAAGCACTCCGTTTGTACAATTATGGACACAGAACATGCTGCAATGTTTTACTGACTCTGGGAACGTTGTGATAAATCAGCTAGCTACCGTAAGATGAAGATATAAATAACTCCTGGGATTGTTACATGAAAAAGAGTACAGAACCTTCCTCCTATCTTAGAAGACATCCTAATGTGTCATGTATCTCTAGTCTAGAAGTTCCTGATCATGGGCTACAGACAAACATCCAGTTTTCAGGGAAGGCAAAAGACAAAGCTGAAGGTGGGCTGGAACAGAAGGAGAGTATTTACCCTCCCTGCACAAACATGAAAGAAAGTAGCAAAGGTTTTTAAGGCATGTTAAATAACCTCCACTGGTAGGATTTTACTTTTTTTCTTCCTTTTAGTATTATACAGCTCCTTTAGCATCAACTCCTCTGAATTCCAGGTTGAAGGAAAGTTTGCTGCACTGGATCTAGAGGAGATCCTGCTCTCAGAGCACAAGGTGAATTCTTAGTGTCTCATTAAGGTATCATAGAGAAGATTCCATAGAGAGACAGAAGGCAGTAGAGCTTTTTCCTCTTACTGCCTAGAAAGTGTGGCAATCCATTGGCAAAAAGCCCAGTGGCAGACAGTTATGTGAGAACATAGGGTTTGTCCTGCCTGTAAATTTACTGAGCTAGTGCAATGGAGCTACTTAAGTACTTAAGCTACAGAGTGAGAACACAATGGGTGGGTATGTCATGAAACAGGCCCTGCTCAAAGGAGTTACAGGGTGAGCAGCTGATGAGCTGTTGTAAAGCAGATTATTGTATTCTTATCACAGGGGTGTATTTTTCAGAAAGTAGCAGCCTGCAACTCCCTTCTTATAGGGGCTCACTTCAACTTACTGAGGTACTCCAGATCATTCTCATGCAAACTAGAGATTTTTGTGCATTACCTCATAACTTGAAAGGGACAAACCTTGAGTTTCTGGATGAAATAAAAATATTAAAGGAATTATCAGAAAAAAAACCCCTTGAGGAACAGAAAGACTCCTGCAAAGTAGCTAACAGTGACGGACAACTGAAATCAAATGAAGCTGGGAGTATTCACCACTTTTCACAAGGTACTTGGTACCTCGCAAACTGTTTTAAAAGAGTAGACCAGGTTTTGCCTGAGATAAGTGGAACACTGCTGAGCCCGTGGGGTCAAATATAGTAAGGCAATTATTTGCAAGGCATGGCCGTAGTTTGCATGGACAAATCTAAGTCTATGCAGCACTCTGTAGCAACCTCCTTGCTGTATATGCAAAACAAATGCACCTTTATCCAGTTCATTTCTGTACTTGCAGAAGGAATGCAGAGATGAAAATAAATGTGTAACAGCATGTGCAGAGAGAACAGCTCCTTACACTTGTCATTCATAAACCTTCTGCAGAACTCCTGAAATGTTCCTCTGTAGCTCATGGTCCTTAGGGAACGGTGAAACTGGTAATAAGACACCACCAGGTCTTTGGGGTTGCGAGCCATGTATATTACCTGTGATGGGGAGGGGGAAGAAAAAAAAAAAATCACCTTATTGAAAGCCTTCCCCTCCCTGGTTTCCCACAACACTGAAACAACTGCTGATGATATACTTCAGCAAACATGATTACATTTCATTTTTACCTTTGAATTGCCATTATGGAGGTCTGAAGGCAAAAACCGATATGGTAGGTGGCTTTTTATAAGGCGAGGAGATGTCAGTTCCTAGAATAAAGCAGACAAACATTTCTTATTGTGCATTAGTTTTTGGCACATCCTGAGCTGTCCTGAACTGGCATACTTGAAGTCCCTTACTGTACTGAGTCACATCATAAATTCACTTTTTAAATTAACAGGGAGTTACGTCTGGTTTTTAAATATCAAAAGGCTTGATGAGGTGTTGGTGTTTGTTGTTGTTTCTTCCCTCCTTCTGTTTTCAGAATACTTTCATTTGTAGGACCTTCTCAAGAAGAGTGTAATAGTTGAAGATTCTTAGTATCAAGCTAACTTTGTTCCCAGTGATGCTTCTTCTGAAATTCCTTTAAATATATTTAAAGCTCTGAAAACCCTACCCCTAACTTCTTCACTTCAAAATTTTACTCTTGCCATTTATTTTATCCTCAGAATTAGGCCCAGACAATACAAAGATTTATCTGAGTATGTGAACATATTTCAAACAAGAGAATTTTTCTATAATTTGAGACAAAATCGTCTTATGACACAAATAATATTCCAGTAGTTAAAAACTGCATAAATCCATATTGGATCAAGTTGCTAGCACATAGTATAGGTAACAATGTATAATCTCAAACTAAAACTCTCCCTATTGCCACCACTTATTTGCGACAAGGTAGCACTGAAGTCTCATTGGATTAGGCATCACATAGATGAAAAAGAAAAGCAACCTCTGACCCCTAAATACTCTCAGCCTAAAGTAGGCTGATGCTACACTTGTCATCCACCAGAGGCAGCTTAAATCCATCTGTGCCAGCCTTAGCTAGCTCAATTCAACACGCACTGTAGCTGTTATAGGATGGAGCCCAGTATTTTGTCTAATCATTCAAAGATATGTCTATACCAGAAGTAGTTACAGCAACGACAAGATCACATTTACATGCCATACCACTAGTGTCTGAGTGATTCTTAGTAGTGCGGAAGTAATTTCATGCAGAATATTCCAAACTCTCTCAAGCTATACCTACAGAGTCTGTAGATCCACAGATCCTGGGTCTCTAAGTATTTCATGTGTAAATTCAGAGCAGTGGGTCTACAGATCCATAGATCTCTGTATTTGTAGTTCCTCTTTCGCAAATTCAGGGAAGGGATCAAAGCAAATCTGCCTCATTTGGGCAGCTTCTGTTTACATAAGCAAGGGAGGCCTGGAATTTTTATTCAGGAAACCCACTGCCAAGATATTTAGGACATGGAGAAACATCTAAAGCATTAGAGTGTAATAAAGCTTAATAAAAGAAACTTTAAAATAACCTAATAATACTCCAAATGATTCCAACAAACCGAGCAGGTCCAGTGATGAAAAGGAAAAGGACACGGGATGAAATGAAGTGATAAATATGGAACCAAGGAAAAAGATATCCAAATGCTGAAAGACTTTCTTTGCAATAAATTGTACCTTGATGATGTCCAGACCAGGCTGAGGGTACTCTAGGACTGGAAGTTGTTCATCTATATTCATTAGTCCAATCTCATCTGGATCAGCTCCCTGACTCACTAGATATACCACTTCCTGTAGCAAGCCTGTGCCTGCACAAACCAAACAATGAAAGAGAACAGATTGTATTACAGTTCTTATCTAAACAGAAGCATATGAAGGGAGACCTAGACATGGAAATAATGATAACTTTTGTCCTTAACAGTCTGTTGTGAACTAAGTCTGTAAGTACTGTTTTAATGTAGTAAGTCTGCTCCCTTAGTTTTATTTTAAACACATGAAGGTCTCCTTTCACATAAAAGACCTGAGATTTTCCTTCAGTAATAATTTAAATATGTTTCTGTCTCACAATCATTTTACCTGTGAATTGGAAAGCATTTTTTAAAAAAGTTTTACCACTGTGAATGTTAGCTAGGCAAATACTACTATTTCAATTTTAGAAATGAAAAAATTGAGGCAAACTGAGATCAACCAAGTTCACAAAACGCATTAGCAGCCATACTGGGAGACTGCCAGTGTCCTCTGTGCTAAATTGTAGGCAATTCTACTGTTATGCAATGATTTCAGAGTCTATTTATACCTCCACATTTGTTGTGGGTTAAACTTTATGGACTGGATAAACAATTGAACGCATCAATGCATAGCAACTTAGTCATAAGCTTTAGAGGCCCCAATTACGTATCTCTCTTCAGTACAAGGACATTTACAAAGCAACCATTAGATGTTATAGCCTTAATGACTGCACTTTGGAAAATTAATAGGTATTCTAAATAGATGTTTGAACAGAGCAACTATTTCAAATTACTTTACCTTCAGGCAGGTAGGAAATACTCAAAACAGGCAAACAAAGGTTCTGAGATATTTGACAGAGTCTTATGAAGAGAAAGGCTTGGGCTTTTGGTGTGATGGAGGAAGAGAATGAGGAGAGACCAAAATGAGCGAGGAGGGAAGGGACTCCACAGCTTAGATAACAAGTCACATGGGCTGGATACTGCAATAGACTGACCAATTATTTAAGAGTTGTGAGTGGTAAAGAAAATGAGACCAGGATTTATTCTCTCTCTTGTGTTGCCTAAAGGAGCAAGTAGTTGTTCCAGAAATCTTTACAAAGCCCAAGCCTGCCTCAATATCTCATGTCCTTGGAAAGATGAGCTACAATCTCTAAGATCATGCTTTTCGTTCCTGTATAACGTGTAAGTTGAAAGCAACTTGTAACAGTCACCAGTTAATTCCTGTTAACTAGCATCCCTGTACACATGAACAGACACATTTTGTACATATTCTGTATGTTGTTCCAACACTAGAGAAAATCAGTATATCATTATTCAGATTTATTTTTTTTAATCTGAGCTAGGAAGAGTTAAAAAAAGCTGATGTACTTTAGAGGCTGGTTAGAGTGAATGCAGCCTGAATACAACATGAAAGAACACACATCTCCAAGAAATGCTTTGCAGAGTAAGTACTTTAAGATTCCTCTGTTTCTTGACTGGTGGGTAAACTAAAACGGCTTGGAAAAAAAGAAACTTTTAAATTACCATCACCCACAGAGACAGCTGTCACAGACTTCATACACACTTGCCCTAAGGCTGCTCACTCTGCATTTTTAAGACCAAGCATATATTTTATAGATTAAAATTAACATGCATATGGTACTTCAGTATCAGTCCTTGTGACTCTGAATGAGCACAACCCTTGTTTCTTATTAAATATTTATTCTGACAGGAGACACCCCGGTTCTCCATAATTTATTTCTGTATTTCCAATTCTGCCTGCAAGGAAAAATGCTATTATAGCAACCTTGTTTCATGAAAGGAAAAGGAATAACTGCATGGGAATAAACACCACCACTACGACTTTCTAATGTTTCATCACTCACAGAATCACAGAATGTTAGAGATTGGAAGGGACCTCGAAAGGTCATCTAGTCCAATCCCCCTGCCGGAGCAGGAACTCATCTGCTCTATAGGCAAAAAGAAGTAATTTGAATACAGAAGGGCCATAGAGCTGAGGCAGAACTATGCTGAAACTTCAGGAGAGTAATATGTTCCCTACCAGCTCTCCACAAGTCCACCAGATAAGCAGGAGGTGAGGGCCAGGGAGCACAGCCCCCATGGCCTTACCTAGTTCTGCTCAGACCCGTGGTCACATGCTAGACTTGGCTTGATTGCTAGCAGATCCATGGAGCATTGCAGAGACAGGAAAAAACATATTAATATCGGAGACATGGGGAAGAAGGATTCATATTCAGAAGGAAGGAGGCCTTTGGAAGCTCAGAAATCTTCATCTAAATGGGCTTTCATCAAAAACAGTAATTAATTGAAAGAGTAATGCTGGGCACATGGCAGGTACTCAAGGCAGAAAATTAAAAATCTCCATCAGGTACAGGTTCTTTAAAACAGTGCTTTAAATCTGTGAACCTCAGTGCTAATTATTAGCACGCACATACACAAATTACTGTAGTTATGTGTGTAGTGCTGCACATATTTCAGCATCCTATTCCAATTCACACGGCAAACAGTGTTTCTGCAATATCTCTTCTACAAAGGGGAGGAATGCAAGCTGACAGTTTAAATGTCTGGCTTCTGGTCATCCAGTAGGTTAGAATTTCTCCTCCCTACACCTGCAGTAGGACCACTGATCCTGAATTCTCCCACCCATGATCTCTGTGCTAGTTTTCACTTTTGTCAACCACTATACTAGCCTGACTTTCTTCCACATTGGCACTCGAGTTACTCTGCTTGTGATTTTCAAGGTCTCAATGCAAATGAAAACTGGAGATTTAACTTTTGAGAAAACTGATTTTTTTAACTCATCACCCTTAAACAATTATCGTTTATCCCACACACAAATGCTCCCAAGAGCCCCATATAAAAAAAAAAAAATTATCAATGACCTGATCTCCTGTTTAAAAAAAAAAAAAAGCACACAAAAACACCACATGCTTACTTGTTTAAAAAGAAATAAATAGCTAAAAGCCTTTAAATGTATAGATATATATAACCTCTTCACATATCTATTAGGATTAATAACAACTCAAGTTAAACTGCAGATATCAGAGCTGAATGTTCTTTTGGTTTAGACATGATGGCTTAACATAGTAATAGGCAAATGGCAGATCAAAATCCAGACCTAGCTGCTAGGGCAAGATTTTCTAGCCCCTGGGAATAACAGCTGTCTAGAAAGACAAACAAACTGGGGTACTGTACCTATGCATGTGATGATAGGCCCAAGCCTTGACTGGGGCTAACAGAGCTTATTAAATTGGCCATGGTGGGAGGTGAATGTGAGTCTTCTGCTGTAGTCCCTGATTCCCCATCTCCATATAAAAATTGAAAATTAGCGATTTGAACGAACTAACTTAAACTGATGTCTGCAGAGATGTGCAAGAACCAACATGTTATGGGTTGAAACTAAACTGCTGAAACTGAGATTTTCAAAGGCGATTATGGGAATAACCTCCAATAATTCCAGTCTATCACAAATTTTGGCAAGTTCTAAATGCCACAGAAACTTTCTTAGTAAAAGGGACAATAATGATACTTGCTGGAGAGAAGAAAAAGATGAAGGAAGCTAAAGAGAAAATAAAAAAAGGTGCAGGACTTACCTTTATACTCTCTAGATTTCTAGCCTGGCTGCCAACACTGATTTATTGTCACCTGAGGGTTACTCACTTTTTAAGTGGGATTGAAGGAGAATTTTCACTCAGTGGAAAAGCTAGCATGTATGCATATGAAGCCAAGGTTTTCCTGGAGTGGATCTTGTGCATCTCTAATATTTTACATAATTTTCTCCTTGTGTTGCTGAATGCATGTGCATGTATGTGCATGCCTCATTTGGGATAGTACAGGAAGAGTAAACAGTCACTGACAACCAGGATTAATCTGCCAGCCTTCGGGCATGAGGCCCCAGATGCAACATTCCGTAAGTACCCTGCAACTCTACCCTTCTTTCTTCCAGTTGTGGCAGATCCACATTTCATCCTGGAGAAAGACTCCTGGCCCTGCTACCTCCAAGGTCATATTGCCAAAACAGATGTGGAATTCATTTATGTTTATCCAATTCCAAATAAAATGGAGCCAGTTAGCATCTGAGGAACTTCAATGCCTGAGAAATGCTCTTCCCTGACAAGCTCTTCTGTTACATCAATATAACACCTCAGGAGAAAAGAGAGTGTTCCAGTTTATCACACAATATCTGGAAAGAGATGGGATGGGAAACAGCAGTGATAAGCTGCTGCCAGAATTTGCAGGGTTTTAGGAGAGCCTTTTAAATAATCTGTGAACCCGTATTTCTACTCTTCATTAGAGCATATACAAATGCAGACCAGTGACAGCAGTTTGAAAGCATGCTACTGGCCTGCACTGTCCTTTTCCGTGGTGCCCAACAATGCACAGAAATCAGGGCTCATTAAGAAAGCCTAAAAGGCTTCACAGAATCACAGAAT